CACCTAGGCGGTAGAGAGCAGATGTGGCTTGGTCACCAAGTCTGGAGGAGATGGGCAGGTGATGGAGTGGGAAGACAGTGGTGTGGTCACTGTCCCTTCTGTTTTCATGGCTGGCAGTCTAGACACCAACTTCCCCATACATATACCACATGTATCCAAACCCCTTCCTCGTCTGAAACTCCCGCAACCTTCCGCTTTCCCTTCGCCATCCTCCTGGGCCTTGGGGGAGCCCACAGCCACTCACTGCCTTGTGTCTGCCACAGGAGCTACTCAGTATCCTAGGCTAGCCCAGGCTGAAGTGCTGTCCACATCTAACATCCCACCTGTATCCTAGGACAGCTGCTCCGAGCTCCATCTGCACATCCCCAGAGCACGGAGTACAGGGAGACAACCATGGGAAGTCCTGGGAACATGAAAACACCCCAACCTGCGCCACCCCCACCCGTCAGGCTTGGTCTCAGGCACTTCCGCAGCCCTGACAGGAAACCAGTCAGTCTCAGCCTCCCGCCATCTCAGGGCAACTTCTTGTTTCCCAGTTGCCCTGAGCCAGCCCGGAGTTGTGGTCCTGGACTCCACCCCCTAAAAACTTCCCAGGCTGCATCCCAGCAGCTCAGAGGGGCCGGGATGGTGGACATGATTGCAAAACTGGCCAGGAGGCAGAGCCGGGCCCTGAGGGCACAGGTAAGGATAGAAGGTCTCGGGCAGGCTCCTCCTCTGATGGGGAGGTCTAGGGCCTTCTGGGTTCAGCGGCCCGCACCCCAGTCTGTTAGGAGCTGACTGTAGAAGCTCAGAACAGGATATGTCGGTGGTCTTGGCGCTTTTCTTCCAGGCCTTTCCTGTCCAAGGGTGCAAAGAGAGATCTGAGATCCGCAGCTTGGGGCAAGAGAGACAGGGCTTCCACCACTGTGGACAAGGGGAGTGTGTGTTTGTGTGTGTGTGTGTGGGGGGGGTTGAAGGCAAGGAATGCATTACCGTAAGGAAGTGAAGGAGGATCTGTGGTGAGAGTAAAGGTCTCTCTTGGCTCAGTCTGCTGCCCTGAGGTGGGGCCCTCTTCCTCTTCCCCACCCAGCCCCATGCTTATACAACCTAGGAGCCCTTGATACTATTTTTAGGCTGTGGCAGCATGTGGCTCTCCAGAGTGGGGGCCAGCTTGACAGGCCCTACTATCTACCCCCCAAAAAACCCCACAGTGACGGGCCCACACAGACCCCCCCAGGAGCAGTGAGAGCCCAGCTGGACCCTCCCGGCAGAGGAAAGCCCTTTAGCTCATCAGTGGGGGAGGAGAGGTCCAGAGTTTGAGGGACCAGTGTGCATTACAGCTCCATGGCTACAGCTTCAAAAGGGAGTGGGTCCTGCCTGATTGCCTCTGGGGTCCCTGTCTTCCACCCCAACTTGGTGTGTCTGGGGTAGTACATCTCCCTGATGCTTCCTGCGCATGGTCTCCTCTTGTGATAGCCCTGTCACTCCAGGGACCTAACCCTCTCCTCCATGTCCCCCAGTACCTGTTGGCCTGTCCCCTGTTGAGATCCCTTAGCTCCAGTAGCCTGTCAAGCATAGTCCCTGCTCCTAAGAGCGAGCCCAGCAGTACCACGGCATCTCCCCACCACCCATGAACCCTTCAGGGGCATATCTGGGCTCTGTGCCCCCACTGAGGCTCCTGGGCTCTGTGGCTCGAAACATCGTCCCTAGCAAATCCTTTCTTACCTTCTGGTGTGTGTGTGTGTGTGTGTGTGTGTGTGTGTGTGTGTGTGTGTTTGCTTGTTTCTCACATTTGCCATGGGATTGGCTTGCATATTATTGAATAGATCTGTTATGCTCCAGCGCATCGTCTCACCTGGTGGGGGCAGTGGCAGCTGGCACATCATCCTATGTCACACTCACAAGAGATGCATGCCTTGGGGAAAGGGAGGTGGCTCAGTGGGTCAAGTGTTTGCTGCATATGAGCATGAGGCCCAGAGTCTAGATCCCGGGCACCCATGTAAATGCCAGGTGGACATGGTAGTCTGCCTATAATCCCAGCACTGGGGAGGCAGAGACTGGGATCGCTAAAGCAAACTGGCTAGCTCTGGCTTCAAATGAGACACCCATATCAATATATAAGGTGATGAGTGATCAAGGAAGACAGCCACTGTCAACCTCAGACCATACACATGCACAGATATGTGCACCTACATTCATACACACACACACACACACACAATATATATATATATATATGGAAAGAGAAAAAGGAAGGAAGGCAGGCAGACAGGTAGTGGGCAGCAAGCTACCCAGCTTCCAAGGCAGAATGCCACTGGACCCTAACAAAGCAATGAGAGTCTTAACCCTCTCTCCCCTGAGAGGCTGTGACCTGAGGCTCCAAAAGGAGCAAAGTCAGCATGGGGTGGACAAGAGAGAAGATAGTCAGGCCAGAGGGACAGTGTAAGGAAGTGGACAGTGAGGAAGTGGTTAGGTGCGTCTTCTGGTGAGGTGGGATAGCCTGGTGTAGCTGGATACAGGCTTGGGGTCAGGGAGAAAGGAGAAGTGTGCGGAAGGTCCTGTCTCCACCACAAGAGCCTGGAGGGGTAAAGGAGAAGGAACGGTGGACCAGCCCAGCACCTGCGTCCTGGGGGCCAGCCACCTTGTCAGAAGCTCCCATGTCTCATATGCCCTCCCACGTTCTTCGTTCTGTTCATTGATTGCACACATAGTCACGCCTGCCACGGCACACGTGTGGAAGTCAGAGGACAACTTGGCAGAGACAGTTCTCTCCCTCCACCATATGGGTCCTGGGGCTCAAACTCGGGTTGCCAGGCCTGGTGACACATACCTTTATCTGCTGAGCCCTCCTGCTGGCCCCCGCCTTTGCAGTCTTTCTCAGCAGTGACATCGCTTACGTGTTGCACTTGCCACACCTGCCATGTGTGCACTTGAGGCCAGTTCCGCCAAGCAGGGGCTTGTGTCCCTTTGTTCTCTGCTGCATTCCCAGCGCCTGGCTCAGTTCCTGCCAAAGCCGAGGAATCTTTTCGAGATGAGTGATGTGGGGAGGGGGTAATATTTACTTATTATTTTTATGTGTGTGAATACAAATATTCATACATGTGCATGTATCACGTGTGCGCCTGGTGCCCAAACAGGTCAGAAGCGGGTATCAGATGCCCTGGAACTGGAGTTAGAGAGTTGTGAGCCACCATATGGGTGCCGGGAACTGAACTCGGGTCCTCTGCAAGAGTAATAATGTTCTCAACCCACTGAGCCGTCCCTCCAGCCCCAAGTGGGTGCTTTTTATGTTCCGTCCTAAAACCCAGGGAGAAGCCATGGTGAGTAGGACGTGCTTCCCCTTACACACGTGTCTCAACCCACAGAGGGGGAGCATTTGTGACAATTTTATTTTATTGCATGTGTTGTGTATGTGTGGGTGGATCACAAGCACACACCTGGAGGACAGAAAACAACCTGTGCTAGTCAGTCCTCTGCCTTCACCTTGTGGGTCCCAGGGATCAAATGCAGGTCATCACCTGCAAGCACCTTTACCCATTGAGCCATCCTGCCAGCCCATTTTGTGTTTGAGACAGGAAGACCTCTGTGAGTTTGAGGCCAGCCTGGTCTATAGAGACAGAGAAAGTTAGTTTTAGGATAGACTCCAAAGCTGCAAAGGAAACCCTGTCTCAAAAAAAAAAAAATTACTGTTACAAAAATTGGAATCTCCAAATATTCTTAAAGGAAAAAAGTAATCAGAGCTGGAGCTCAATGGAACACTACCTATCTGCCTTCTGTACTTGAAGCTTAGGGTTCAATTACCACTGCCACCATCCCCCCCAAAAAAAAATAACCCTATAATCACACTGCTCATATAGACCATTTGTCAGCATTTTGTTTGATTTAGGTCTTTTTGAGACAGGGTCTCATGTACCCCAACCTGGCTTCAAACTCCACATGTAGGCAAGGATAACTCTGAACTTGTGAAGTTCTGCCTCTGTCCTCTGAGCGCTAGAATTACAGGCATGTACTACCATGCTTGGTTGTCTGCAGTGCTCGGAATCGAATCCAGGGTGCCATCCATGCTGGGTAAACACTCTTCCCAGCCCACCCATATTACCGTATTGAGGTATACTGTTTGCTGGGAGCATTGTGCATTCTTTGAAAACTGTTAACCCCTGGTGCATTCCTGCTGCTTTGGGTTAAATAGTGAGGCTGTCTATCTCTCTAGAGGGTTGGCATTGCTGGGCTGCGTGTTGTTGGGAACACTGGAGGGATGTGGGGAGAGATCTGAAACCTGACACTCTCTGGACCTGAGTCCCGAAGAACAAACTGGGTGAGCGGGGTGAGCAGGGTGGCATTGGACACAGACAGGCTGCAGAGGAGCTGAAGGCACTGGGCCCCAGAGGTTCCAGCAGAGGGGTGTGGAGCTTAAAGTTCAAGGCCAGGGGCAAGCAAGGAGTGGCAGGAAATAGAGCTCAAGCCTAGACAGGCGATGGATGGCCTCTGTGGGCCTCAGACTTTGCCCCTCTGCCCACAGGAGGGCAGAAAGTGTGAATCATACCAGCTTCTCCTCTGTGCTTAGCCAGATGAACCCCTCTCCTCTTCCTCTCCCCCTTTCTCCTAAACCTGCAAAGCAGCCCCCAGCAGTATGGATTCCATCTTTGGAGCTCTCAAGGATGGCGGGAACCTTCAGTGGGGCCATGCACTGCGAAATGAGGCCCACGAGAGAACGATAGATCCCAGGCTGTCGGTCTGTTGCTGCCATTGCCTCACCTTCTCTGAGTACAGACTCGTGAGAGCTGAGTTATTGTTAGATGATTAACAAACTGCCCTTCCCATCTGTGGTACACACTGTTTTAGGCAGCACCGTAAAAAACTTTGACCACAGCATCTGGGATGGGCAAAACGTACATTTTTCCACCCAGGGTAACTGAGTCAGAGAAGTAACTGGGCTTCCTGAAGACTGTCCAGTTTGCAAGTGTCCAGGGTCACACTGTGCAACTCAGGACTTACCCCAAAAGTTGTCTCGTTCGATGCAGGTGGATGACCCCCAGGAGCCAGTGTATGCCAACGTAGAGAGGCAGCCTCGGGCTACTCCTCCTCCCTCTGCTGCAGCTCCTCCTCGGCTCAACCCAGTGTGGGAGACTCACACAGACACGGGCACTGGGCGCCCCTACTACTACAACCCCAACACGGGCGTGACCACCTGGGAGTCACCCTTTGAGGCCTCTGAAGGCGCCACCAGCCCCGCCACCTCCCGGGCCTCTGTGGGCAGTGGGGAGAGCCTGGAGACAGAGTGGGGCCAGTACTGGGATGAGGAGAGTCGCAGGGTGTTCTTCTACAATCCCTTGACCGGTGAGACGGCCTGGGAGGACGAGACTGAGGACCTGGAGGAGGACGAGCCCCAGGAGCAGCTGGAGATGCAACCCAGCCTGAGCCCTCGGAGCCCTGGGCATCAGAGGGTGAGGGGCGGGACCACCCCCAGGGCCTCTGATCCCACCTCCTGCTTCTCAGGGTCAGATGATAGGGGTGGGGCAGTAGGGTGTTCAGCATCTTTGACCCTTCCTCACGATAATCAGAAACCAGAGTGGAGGCGGGACCACCTCTGACCCCACCTCTTGCTTCTCAGAGGCCGGAGAAGAGCGGAGAAGAGCGACAGAGCTGTCTCTAAGGACCTCTGACTTTTCTTGCTTCTTGGCCCCAAAGACTAGAGAGTAATAGATGGGTCCGGCACAGAGTGGGGAGACAGGAGACAGAGAACCTCTGACTCCACCTTCTGGTTCCTGCAGCCCCCGACTCCTGAGACAGACTACCCCGAATTGCCGTCCGGTTACCCGGAAGAGGACTATTCTCCTGTGGGCTCCTTCAGTGATCCTGACCCTTCTTCTCCCTTGACGGCACCCCCTGGCTGGTCCTGTCACATTACCCCAGACAAGCAGAAGCTCTACACCAACCAGTTCACTCAAGAGCAGGTAGGACACCAGTAGCAGATGACCTAGACAGCCTTGCTGTCTCTTCCTCCCCAGACTTCCTCAACTCGGACCTCCCCTCAAAACTAAAGGGCAGACCCCACGACATTCAGTGCTAAGTTGAGTGCTGCAGCCCCTAGTACCATCCTGGACTCTGGGCTGAGAGCCCTGACCATCCCTGTGTTCACAGTGGGTGAGGTTGGAGGACCAGCATGGGAAGCCATATTTCTACAATCCAGAGGACTCCTCTGTTCGGTGGGAGCTGCCCCAGGTGACTAACTAGGGAAGGGGAGAGTGGTAGGGAGGGTGGACGGGATCATAGGTGACAGTGTCTCTCTCCCCAGGTCCCAATCCCTGCCCCTCGAAGCGGTCGAAAATCCAGCCAGGATAGTGACACTCCAGTCCAGGCTAGCCCTCCAGAGGAGAAGGTGGGAAAGGGCCACGGAGTCTGGGGCTAGGGATTGGTGGGGTGTGTCCCTCCCCTCCCTATAAGCCCAGAGTAAAGGGAACATGGAAGCCCAGGACGAGTCTCCCTGTGCCTACTTCTGTAGGGACATCGCCTTCCCTCCCAGCAGAGGCAGGGTGACAGAGGGAGTCAGTGAGCCTCAGGCCTAGCTTGTGGGGGAACTTCCAGCTGAGGAGATGCTAGCTTTGTCTCTTGCTGCCTGTCCCCCTCATAACCATTCCTGCTTCTGCCCATTCTCTTAGATCAAGACCCTGGACAAGGCAGGGGTGCTCCATCGTACCAAGACAGTGGACAAGGGAAAGAGACTTCGGTGAGGGCCTGTCAAGTCCCTAACCATGGCAGAGTGGGCCACTTACTAACCTTGTAGCGACTTCATACGAAGTCCTGTGAGGAAACTGAGGAGCCTAAGGTTCCTTGGCTACCAGCTGTTAGGGGTAGGAATCCAGCTATCTTGAGACAGTGCCCCAAGCTATGTCCTGGGGGGGGGGCTCCAGACTAGGAGCAAATCTAAGCCCCGCCCACCCCCACTTCCCTCTGTACTCAGGAAGAAACATTGGAGCACCTCCTGGACGGTGCTGGAGGGAGGCGTCCTCACCTTCTTCAAGGACTCAAAGACCTCAGCTGCAGGCGGCCTGGTGAGACCTGTCCCTGAGCAAGGGACATCTTCTGCACTTTCTTCCTAGTCTGGCTTAGGAAAGACTGGTCTGAAAAATGGATACCCAAGTACCAAGGAACTATACATTGGCAAAGAGGGACAATGATGGTAGATTCACTACAGTGCAAAGCATCCAGGCACTCAGGGCATGAAGAACAGTTCTTGGGAATGCACAGCTCCAGTCAGGACAGCTGGGAGGCTGGGCTGTGACATACCCACTCACAAAATGGGGTTGGGCTCCTTCCTTTCCTCCTTCCAGCTGGCCAGCACCAGGAGCCTGCTATGTCAGAGCCAGGTATTTTAGTAAGCCCACCTAAGTGGATGCCCCTTGTAATTTTGATTCCTCCATTTCTTCCTTCCCCACAGAGGCAGCCTTCCAAGCTCTCTACCCCTGAGTACACAATTGAACTGAAGGGGGCCTCCCTCTCCTGGGCCCCCAAAGACAAATCCAGCAAGAAGAATGTGTTAGAGGTGAGTCATGGGATAGGGGAAAGGGCCCTTGAATCCCACTGCAGACAGGGCCCAGGGATGGGGACCCGTAGAAAGTAGGGCCAGCCGAGTTCCCAAGACTCAAAGTCAAGGCTGCCCCATCTTGGGTCCAGTGTTTCTGTCATCATGCTGTCTGAAATCCCCACCCTGGGCACAGCGTTAATAGTCCTTACCACTGACCGTAAGAAGCAGGATGTCTGGGAGACGACATCGCCATCCCTGAGTGGCCTTCTCTCAGCCACCAACCTGAGACTGGGGCCTCTGTCTCTAGCCACTCACTGTGATGTGCTGAGCCAGAGACCTGCTTTCGCTGGCCAGAGCCCAGCTTCCAGTTTTTATTGGGTTCTCAGTGAACAGACCAGTGACAAGCTGGTCTGATTCCCCCAGCAGGAAGAGCACGAAGATTCTGGCAAAGGCCTCCTGGTACCACACCCTTCACTGTTTGGGGTTTTGGCAGTCCTTAAGAGCTGTGAGGAGGAATACTAGAAAAACACAGGCAGCGAGGGGCTGAGGGGACGGCTCAGTACTTGTTACACAGGAACAAGAGCCCGAGTTCAAATCCCAGAAACCATGTAGAAGCCTCGTGTGGTGGCATATGCTTGTAATTCCAGGGCAGAGAAAACAGACATGGATTCCCTGGGGCCTGCTGGCCAGCCAATCTAACTTAAATGTTGGATTCTGAGTCAGCAAGAGACCCTGTCAAAAACGAAGTAGACAGTGCCTGAGGAATAACACCTGAGGTTGAACTTTCACCTGCACACACATGCATGCATACACATACACACATGAATGCATGCATGAACACACCCCACAGGCAGTGAACTGGTAAAAACCACATGCACACACACACACACACACACACACACAGAGAGAGAGAGAGAGAGAGAGAGAGAGAGAGAGAGAGAGAGAGTCCAAGCCTACTCCCAAGAGAGACCCAGGGAACAGGGGTAACTGACTGACTTGTGTCCCTCCAGCTTCGAAGCCGAGATGGCTCAGAGTACCTGATCCAGCATGACTCAGAAGCCATCATCAGCACCTGGCACAAGGCCATTGCCGAAGGCATCGAGGAGCTGGTAGGCAGAGCCTGGGACCTCCAGGGCTGACAGAGAGGGACGGGGGCCTTCTATGCAGGCCCCTCAGCCGTGCACAGAGAACCCATGAACAGTGCCATCCCCTGCAAGAGCAGACACTCTGCTGATGAGAGGGGCTTTCCGGAGGCATGTGACTCCAGCTCTGGGACTGTTCTTGCAGGACTCCATAGGAGGGCCCAGGCACAACCTGATGAAGCCTATCATTATAGGGGTGGCAGGTGGGAAAGTACATAAATACCCTGAAAACAGCTGAAACTAGAAGACAAAGGATCAACAGATTGAATCCAAGGGCCTTATGTCTGCTAGACAAGTGTTTTGCCGTTGAGCCATCGCCCTGGTAGCAAAGCGTCCATCATGCATTGTGGACACATAGCTTAGTGACAGAGGACTTGTCTAGAATGCAAATGGTCCTGAGTTTGATCCCCAGCTGTGACAAAGTCAACAGCTATTTATATGGCAATGGCCTGATGGTATTAATTTCCATATGAGTTAGCACTGGGTGTTGATTGTGTTGATGGAAATGGGAATCCAGCCGCAGGAGATAATGTTGGTCTGTCAGTTCGTGAGTGGGAGCCGATCTAGTGGATGTAGAGAGTTGAGTGAAATGGGAGGCTGCTGAAAATGGCTGGATGAGACAGAAAGGGAGAGGGTAGAATGACCTTGTAGCTCCGGGAGGACTCTCCAGTCAGGGAAGGTGAACCTTGATTTCTGGACCTGAACCTGGCTAAGAGAAAGCAGGCTCTTCCCTGGGATGGCTCCAGGCCCGAGCTGCTTGGGACTGGCCCCAACTGGCCCCAGGCCTTGCTTCTCTGAGGCTGTGTGATTCCAGTCAGCAGACCTGCTCCAGAGGGAGGAAGGCGAGCCCAGCAGTGTTGACTTCGGGTCCAGTGAGCGCCTCGGGAGCTGGAGGGAGGAGGATGTGCGGCAGAATGCAGGTGTGCAAGGGGTCAGGTGGGGGACCGACCCAAGAGCCCCCTCTGGGGGTGGGAAATGATGTCCTGGCTGGGGTCTAGGGCCAATGATATCTACCACTGCCACCTACTGACTGGTTCGGTCTGTGGCAGCCTCACCCTTGCTGAGTCCCGGAGGCCTGGAGAGTGATTTGAGCAGGGTCCGGCACAAGCTCCGCAAATTCCTACAGAGGCGACCCACTCTGCAGTCTCTGCGGGACAAGGGCTACATCAAAGGTACCTGCAATTCGCCCAGGATCCGGGCTAAGGTGGCAAGGGGCTGGGCGGCGCTGACCAATCTCTCCCTCAGACCAGGTGTTTGGATGTGCATTGGCTGAACTGTGTGAGCGCGAGAGGAGCCCGGTGCCACGCTTCGTGCAACAATGCATCCGCACTGTCGAGGCCCGGGGTATGTATGCATGCATGCGCAGACAGGGCAGCGTTGCATGGTCGGCTTCTAGGAGCCCCTGCGGGAGCACAGGGTCAAGGAGAAGGGCATGAGGCGATCCCGAGTGGAAGTGGCTAGGGTCCCTAGCCCTTCCGGGGTCAGTCATTACCTTTCCCTCAGGGCTGGACATGGACGGGCTATACCGCATCAGTGGGAACCTGGCCACTATTCAGAAGCTGCGCTATAAGGTGGATCACGGTGAGGTTCTTCCCCAGTCCCACCCTGGAAGCTGAAAGCACAAGTGAATGCTGACTGCCTCTCACTCCCGCGGCCTCTCCCCACTGCAGATGAGCGCCTGGACCTGGACGATGGGCGCTGGGAGGACGTCCACGTGATTACAGGCGCACTGAAGCTTTTCTTCCGAGAGCTGCCAGAACCCCTCTTCCCCTTCTCACATTTCCACCAGTTCATAGCAGCCATCAGTGAGCCGCTTAGGGAGAGGAGGGGTGGGGAGGTTGGCCCGCTTTTGTCACAGCCAGCAGACTATCTCTGGTCCCTTCCCTCACCCAGAGCTGCACGACCCTGCCCAGCGCAGCCGCTGTGTGCGTGACCTGGTGCGCACGCTGCCAGTCCCCAACCACGACACACTCCGACTGCTCATCCAGCACCTGTGCCGGTGAGCAAGCTGGACTTCCCAGGGCAGAAAGGGGGGGGGGGCTGGTCGTGGCTTGGAGCCCCTGTTGAGAGATGCTCCAACCGCTGAGCTGTTGATCCCACCATTCCCACTGCAGGGTGATCGAGCACGGTGAGCAGAACCGTATGACCGTGCAGAATGTGGCCATAGTGTTCGGGCCCACGCTGCTGCGGCCTGAGATGGAGGAAGCCAGCATGCCCATGACCATGGTGTTCCAGAACCAGGTGGTAGAGCTCATCCTACAGCAGTGCACGGACATCTTCCCACCTCACTGACTGTGGAGCCTGGGTGGCTGACCTCCTCTGAGGCTCTCCACCTCCCACCCCGCTACACTGTGACTTCTCCACCCCTCGATTCGGAGGGTACGAGGACCCCCTTCATGACCCCAGTTCATGAAATGTGATTTCTCCCTGTTGTAGCCCCATTAGGGGTTTATTAGGGCCCTTTCTTGATTACAGCGCCCCCTATTTCGTGAATGCGAGAATGTGCCTGGAGGGTGAGTGCTAACTAGGGCCACTGCTGGGACAAAGGATTGGATGAAGGTGGTCTGGCTTCCTCTGACCTACACCTGGCCAGGCTTTAGTGGAGACCCTGTAGGTCCAGTGCTATGCAGGAGGTCCTGCTCTGGTCATGAAGCAGCTACTGACACGGGTCCCAGGACTTACTTACCCTGGCTGCCAGCCCAGGCCACTGACTGCTTCCTTCAGCGTTATGGTCCTGTGCCCTATGGTCCTATTGCAGGCCACCCGAGGGCTTTTCCTGTGCTTTCCTCTCCTCCTGGGCCACACCTGTTCTCTACAAGTGTTCTTCATGCCCATCACATGCTAACCCTGCACCTACTGCACATGATTCCAGGGAGCGGGCTTACAGAAGTCAATTGACTTCAGGTTCCAAAGGTGATCTGAACCCCCCAAAACCCAGCTTCTAGAGGAGGAAGTGAGTCCCTCTCCCACCCACCTGCAGAAGCACAACCTATGGGCCCAGCAGAATAAATATGCTGGAGCTCCCTGCAGGGCTAGAGAGTACCTTAAGGCAGCTGGGAAGCTTCCACAGCTGTTCTGGGAAGAACAACAGCATAAACAGAAACCTCCAGGCGCTGCCCGAACCCTGGCTGGGTGCCGGCCTGGTACCCACTTGCCATGCAGAGCCTCAGCAGAGAGAGTTGAACATGTGTCTGTCAACTGTCCCTTCCTGGTGCACAAACCACCTCAGCTTATGATCCGAGCCTGTAGCTCCACCCACCCTTACTGACTCAACAAACAATAATAGCTAATATTTATTGAGCATTCCCACTACGGCAGCCTTTTACTCGGATTACCCCTTGGTTTCTTGCAGTCAGTATTTATTGTGGACCCTCTGTGCCAGCCACGTACTCCTGGGACAGGGGTTCTGCGCATGCTACCTGGAGCTTCGGGCCCAGTGTGTAAGACTGATGCAAACTCAGCCCCGATGGTAGCAGGGCCAAGAAGAGAACAAATAGAGTCCTCTTGCCACACACCTACACATTAAAGTCTTAAGGCAAACTAACAGCTGTTGAATAAAATACGTTTATTCTCCTACTTTGGCAAATGTACTTTGATAATGGCCTGGAAGGCTAGCTTCTAGCCTAACCATGTTGGACTCTTCCAAGTCCATAGTTGAGCAGTGTGATATGTGAAGAGCTGCGCTGGTCTTCTGTCTGTCTGTATCCCACCCCACCACCCAGCCAAGGCTGGCTTCAACTCCTGCTCATCCTGCTGCCACCTCCCGAGTGCTGACAGTGATCACCGGGCCCAGCTGCCACCTTTCCTTAATTATTTGCCAACTGAGGGTTCTTTTGGGTTATGTCCTCTTGAAGCTGTCGCAACAGACACTACTGCACAAGTGTGTCTGTGGCCAGGGTGGGGTGGAATGAGGCCATCTTCAGCTTGCAGGCAGGACTTTCTTTCTGTGTTCTCAAATATCAGTGAGGCTTACAAGTCAGGTCCCTCCTCCACGCAAGGACTCCGATCCCATCACCTTACTTAAACTGAGTCACTCCCCAAGGCCCCATTTCCAAACACATCCTACCTGGCTCGTGAATGTGAACAGCAGAGGGAGTGAGCTTCCGTTCCATTCCATACCCTGTGCGTTTCCATCCTCGGGCACACAACTGTTGGTGGGTCCCACAGTGACCCCTGCAGCTTACTTGTTGGGGAGAGACCTCCCCCACCATTTTTATCAGCCGAGAGGAGGGAATGCAGTCCATTCTCCTCTCCTCATAGTGCCTCTACCTGCCTCCCTCTCTCTCACAGATGGCTGACCTCTGTCCCCAGCAACCACAGTGAGCCCCAGAACAGCCCCTCCTCTCCCTAGCTGTCCACATCCGGGGATTGACAAGTTGCCTCCTAAGCATACCCATAGTTCTCCATGCTTCTCCATTATTGAGTTGCTGGGCTGGGCTGGGCGGAAGTCACCAGGAAATAGAGTCAGTGAGGTGAGCTTGGTGTTCTCAGAACCGACACCTGCAAAGGGATGAAGGCCTCAAGTCTGGGCCCTATGCCCAGACTCAGCCAAGCTTCCAGAAGCTTTGGGTGAGTTTATGCATTGCCCCTGCTGTGGCAAGAAGCTGGCTGCCTGTTAGCCACCAACGTTGCCTGATGGATGGCAGGGACCTGGGCAGAGCAGCTCCTGGGCATATCCCAGAGGGGCTCAGATGAGAGCTGTTGCTCACCAATCCTAACAAGCTGGGCCTCCACCCATAGGGGACTTGGTGCTTCAGTCATGGAAGAGACCTGGTCCCATGGGAACACCCTCTAATCACTGTCACTCTTGGAAGCCCTCCACCATACACCTCTCACAACCACAGCCATTCTGTCCCTCTCACAGCCAGGCCTTTAAAACTAGTACATTTATTTGTTTGCATGTTGTGTATGTGTGTTGAAGGTGCATGCATGCCATGGCATGTATGTGGAGGTCAAAGGACAACTTGCAAACTGTGGTCCTTTCCTTCACCATTGGAGTACTGGGGTTGTCAGGCATGATGGCAAGTATCTATATGTACAGCTAGACATTAAAAGTTGTCCATGTTGACTATCCAATCCACTGCCCTCAACCCCTGCATGGCACAGGCCCCAGAATGTCCTGTGGATTCAGCAACACACCCATGTTGAAAGACGTTTTGAGTCTCCATGTTCACTGGCTTCCCATGTCATGCAGGCCTTCCTGGAAACATCTCTTCCTCAGTCCCCTCATGTTCCTCCTGCCTCTGGCCAAGCATGTGAAGAAGGAATTCTCAGGTCAGACCCTCCTCCCTGTCCTCGATCCCAGAATGACACCCACAGCATCAGTGATGTTGCCCGGTGACAGACCTCTGCCTAAGACTGGATTCATGATTTCCCCCAAAACCAAGTCCACCTCCAGGGTTTCTCTATCTCAGGAAATGGCTCTGTCATCCCCAGCTAGACAAGCTAAATCTTGGGAAGATGACAGGCTCCCTCCAGCCTGTCTCAGCATCCTTGGGCTCTACATTGCCAACTCTCTTACCTCCACAAGCCTGGTCTACGGTTCTAACATCTGCCTGGACTACCACATAGTCCCTTCCCCATCCCATGGTCTCAGTCCCCCACCCCTGATCTAGCCTCAGTTTCAAACACTGCCCTTGCTATCTTATTGTCCCAATTTAAAACCTTATACTTGAGTCCGGTGAGATGGCTCAGCAGGTAAAGGCGTCTACTGCCAAGCCTGACCACTTGAGGAGGAAACTGAGTCCCCCAAATTTGCCCTTTGACCTCCACAAGCATGGATACACAGTGAGATATGTATGCAGCTTGCCAAGACCTGAACCTAGTTTAGGGACATTTGCAAAGTCACATTAGTCTTTATTTCCAGTTTCTAGGCTAGCCCGGGTCCCAGAAAGGGACAGCCACAGGACTATCATATTGGGTCCATAAGTCTTTTGATCCCAGGGCTCTGAAGCAGTCTTTTGGTTTGTACAGTGTTGAGACAAAGTCACATTCAGCCAGACTGCCGTGACACTTTCTATAGAGCCAGAGATGACCTTGACTTTCACCCCAAGAGATCACAGCCCACCAAGATCCTTTCTCCTCCTTCTCTGTCTTCCCCTCCCCTTCCTAGAAGATGTATTTATTTTTATATATGTGCTTGTTGAAAGACCTAAAAAGTAATGTTAATGATGGACTAACCTAGAAACCAATATCTGTTCCTTGGAATTTGCTAGCTTCCTCTCACAAGGCCCTGAGATAAGAAGAATTCACACTGCCCCTCCTTTCCTGTGAGTCAACAGGTGGTAAATAGGGTCAAGAGATAGCTGTAACTCTGGTTTACCCAGACAAGATTAATTAGCACACCTGAAGCCCTAAGGTCTGCTGACCCTAATAGCGAGACCATCCGGCCTCCAAGGGTCACGTACTCAATGGACAGAGGGTCCCACCCCCTCCTTAAGCTTGTGGGTTTGCCTTTAAAAACACCTGGGCCCAGGGGAGGGGGCTTCTCTCTAGCCTGAGTGCTGGAGGAGCCCGTTTGCACAAACGTTTCCTGTTCATTAAAGCCTCTTGCATTTTGCAGCCACTGGACTGGACATTGAGTTCTTGGGGTATCGACCGAACCTGGAAGACTCCTCATTCTGAGGGTCTTACATGTGTGTCTCAGTGTGTGTGTGTGACCCATGTGCAGGTATGTGCTGAGGCTGGAAGAGAGCATTGAGTCTCCTGGTGCTGAGTTTCAGGTCACTGTTAGTACCCAACCCCCACCACGGCATCTTACATAACTGCTGTGCACACCAATCCTGGGAGGTGATGAGCCCCTCACAGCCTGCTGTGCTATGGGACTCACCTACTCTACTGACCTTCGCACACTCTTGATTGTGTGTCTTTATGCAGAGTTCTATATTTTGCCTCAAGCACAGAGTCTCACAGCCGCCACTGCAATCAAAACAGAATGGTTCTATTACTTCAAAAGCCCCATTTCTGCCAGATGGCCCACAGCTTTAACCCCAGCACTTGGGAGGCAGAAGCCAGTGAGTCTCCATGAGCTTGAGGAAAGCCAGTCAGGGCTCCAGGGTGAGACCCTGGAAAATTAATTAATTAAAACAAAAACACCTCCATTCTTGGCCCAGAGACAGTTTGCTTAGAGTCATTTGGTGGATCTCCAGCACCAAAGTTGGGGGAGCAGGCCTGGAATTGCTTATTTATTTATTTAATCATTGTATGTGTGTGAGTGTTTTCCTCTGCATGCATGTATGCATGTGCATGACTGGTACCCACCAATACCCAAAGAGGGCATCTGGGACTGGAGTTACAGACAGCCATGAGCTGTTTGGGTTTTCAACAACAAAGTATCCTTAGCTGCAGAGCCAACTCTTCTGCCCCCTTCCCATTGTCCCATTGTCCTACGCCTCCCTGCCCCCATTGTCCCTTTGTCCTCAGGCCTCCCTGCTTCTCTCTCACCAGGCCTCTTCTCTTACCTGGCCCTTCTCTCCTCCATTTCTCATTTCTTCCTTTGAAGCTGTTGTGTAGGGGAACTCACAGAGCGCATACCCTTTGGAGCCTGGCTCTTTGCATTAGGCACAAACTCTTCTGACCAGAGTCAATGTGGACGTTTCTGGCTCCTGGGTCTGCTTCTGGTTAGGTTTTTTGAAGAGCCACTCCCAGCTGGAGGTAAAGGATAAAGGGAGGTGAGCCAGCTGGGAGGCCTCCGGGGTCCAGATGAATACTACAAACCAGTCCTCCACCCTCACCCCCACTGCACATCCCCACCCTCATCCCGCACCTCCACACCCCCATCCCACAGCTGGAAATTAGTTTAGCTTTTCATCAGGGATGCTTGGAGCAGAGCTGCCAGCAGAGGGCACGAGAGGCCTTTCACCCGAGGGGTGACTACACAGACACACCCAGAGCTGGAAGGGGAGCTTTAGAGCCAAGAGAAGCCATCTGTCCTGCCCACTGTGTCCTATCCCCCCAAAGAGACAAATCTTGGAAGGGGAGAAGGAAGGGGGCAGGTCCCTTAGAGGGTGTTTGTTGCTCCAGCTGCCTAAGCACGGCCTCCTACCCACTCTAACTCATACCTCCAGATCTCCCAAGTCCCGGCGACCTGCGTTCCCCTTTTGTCTTGGTACTGGATCTCTGTTTCTCACACCATCCGGGCACCTTCTCTTCCAGAGGCCCCTTCACTTTGAGCTTTCTCAAACATGATCTCAAAGTGTGCATCTGGCCTGGGCGAAGGATCTTAATGAGCTTTGCTGTGTGCTCGCTCCCACCAGGTGACACTAAAGGCCTGGAAGAAAATCTTGCTCTCAACACCACCAGGGCCCTGGAATGCAGAGCCTCCAATCCCTGTCCAGCTGGCAGCATGTGGCCGAGTGACAGGCACTTAACACCAACCTCTGGCCTCTAGGCATACATACACACAAAAGCACCCTCCTATGCACACATACCTGGCCACACACAAACACACGCATGAACATATATCATACACAAACATGAGTCCCTGGTCTCTGTAATTGCAGTGCTAGAATCATGTTCATGCACTTTGCTCAACTGTAATTGACACACCTGTCTCCCTAAGAGATGTCCATTTCCTC